GCCCAGAGTCCTCCGGGAGTGGGCGGCATACAAGACAAATAAATAAATAAATAAATACTCCGAAAAATACGGCAAGTAAATATGGTTTCCCCTCAGAAGGGTGCAAAAAATGATCACATGACCCTGGGACACTGCAACCCTCCTAGATACACACCACTTGCCAGGTGTCATAAGTGGCAAGGTGGGATCACATGGAGATGGCTGCCATGGTCATAAGTGTGAAAAATGGCCACAAGTCAATTTTAAGCTTCTTGTTGTCGAGCCCGAATTTGACATATGTGTAGCCATTTTATTTAGCTCTCTATTGTACTCATTTATTCCCTTTTCTTTCTCTTTACTATGTAAGGGTTTTTTTTCGGGCTCGCCACATTCTTAAGGTGGTGGTGAGAGTGGTGGAGGAGGGAATAGATAGTGAGGATTGTTTTGGATAGGGGACCTTCTTTCCCATGGGAACAGAGGATGCTCTTGGTGAGAACGGAAGGAGGAGTTTGAAGACTCCGGTTAATGTGGATGGAGTGTTTATTGGAGAGTGTGACTTTTGAGGGACGTTTCTAACTTACAATATTATGTGGTGTCATTCCGGTTTGTCTCAGATCCGGAATTACAACAGACTTTGCCCATTTGATGTCTACCGAAATTTGTTTTTGAAGATGGGCTTTGTGCATTTCCCTTTTTGACTGGGTTCCTGACACTTGTCACTTTGAACAATCAATACATGAATGGGTTGTTAAGCCGAGGACTATAGAGAATATTTGTGACTGGTTGTTAAGTGAGGACTACCTCTGTGTAGCCATTACAACCGAACCCCTTTGTCTGTTTCGAAGCCACCCAAAGAACGTAAGTGCTAAGCCGTTTCAAGGCCCGGCAATTGGACTCATCTTCAGGTGTGCGTCACAGGTAGACAACTTTACCTGAACTATGGAGGGGCACAAGCGCTGCTTCTCGTAGTGAGCCGGCTTCATGCAATGACGGTTCTTGTTTTGCCCTCGCAGTCTCTTCCGTCCCGGAGGCTCTGGGGTTCTCTCACCGGCAACGGCCACTTCCGCAGGCTTCTCTTCCCGGGCCCCATCAAGTTCCAGCTTCTGCAGCTTGACAGGCGGCTCCCCTCGCTCAGCACCCTGAAGATCATTCTTGGCTCCATCTGGATCTTTCCTCGGCTTCTCTTCCTTCTCAAGGTGGGCATGGAAGTCCTCTTTCGTGCAGCGGTATCTCAAGGGAGAAAGGTTGTAACACCTCTGTTAATTAAAGGTAAAGGTTCCCCTCGTGCATACGTGCTAGTCGTTCCTGACTCTAGGGGGCGGTGCTCATCTCCGTTTCAAAGCCGAAGAGCCAGCACTGTCTGAAGACGGCTCCGTGGTCATGTGGCCGGCATGACTAAAGGCTGAAGGCGCATGGAACGCTTTTCCCTTCCCACCAAGGTGGTCCCTATTTCCCTACTTGCATTTTTAACGTGCTTTTGAACTGCTAGGTTGGCAGAAGCTGGGACAAGTCACGGGAGCTCACTCCGTTAAAGCGGCGCTGGGGATTTGAACCGCCGAACGGCCGTTTCTGATCGACAAGCTCAGCATCTTAGCCACTGAGCCACCGCGTCCAAGCTCTATTAATTGGAGGGTTTTAAATGTCTTTTGCCAGTTTATATTCCATCCAGTCTCCATCCCTCTCCCCCCACCAATCTATCAAGCGGGCAAATCCCAAGGATTTTTTTAATTTTACGGTTAGGTTTTGTGCGTGACTGTCCCAAAGGTGCTTTTTCGAAAGGCATCTGGACTTCGTTTTTCTTTGTAGGTGTTTCATTTCTCATCGAAGAAGCTTCTTCTTCAGCTTTGAAGATTGAATTGAAGAAGCTCCTTGGGTGAGAAGAGAAAGTTTGGCCGCCGTAACTACAACGAAGATGCTGAGACGGCAGAGAAGAGCAACAAAGATGATTAAAGGCCTGGAAGCTAAAACAGACTAAATAAGGTTTGCAGGAACTGGGAATGTCTAGTTTAATGNAACTTACAGAAAACGTTTGACCTCTGTCATTGCCAACAAAGGATATATAACAAAGTATTGAGATGAACTTTTGATATTGACCAAATACTTATTTTCCACCATAATTTGCAAAAAAAAATTCTTTCCTAATCAGACAATGTGATTGTCTGGATTTGTTTTTTCATTTTGTCTCTCACAGTTGAGCTCTGCCTATGATGTCAATTAAAGGCCTCTCTCACCATTTTAAGTGGGAGAACTTGCATAATTGGTGGCTGACTAAATACTTTTTTGCCCCACTGTATTTGCCTACAAGGGAGGGAGCTGTCTAATTATGCCACATGGAAGCGCATAAATCTGTCTTCACTTTGAAATTAAAGATTACTACTTAACTGTAATTTATTCTTTTATTGCAAGGTACATTTGTTTTTGTCAGATCTATGCATCAAACACATCTGGTGGCTTGTGAAAGAGTTATTGCCTAATATTTCCAAGGAACAATTACGTGATATTTTTCCTCACAAGCCAACATGCCTCGAAACTATAAACAATGCAGATAACTTCTGTTATGTTTGTGGTGAGGTTACATTTGCATCCCCAAAGTGCAATTTAACAGCAGTGGTAAAAAAACGCCTACCACTTATATTTTGTGGGCAAAATAGGGGATCAGGACAAGAGTTGGACCCCTCATTATTGTTGCATTACATGTGCAACCTATCTGTGTCGTTGGCTAAACAGGAAGAAAAAAATCCATGCCTTTCGCAGTCCCGATGGTGTGGAGGGAACCCACCAATCATAGTATTGCTATTTCTGCATGGCTCCCTGAATTGCAAAAGGGATCTCAAGAAAGAAGGGGGCCGTGGAATATCCAAACATTCCACCCGCCCTGCATCTGTACTCCACGGGGAGGATTTGCCAATTCCAGACCCACCAGAATCCTACTCTCTAGACTCAGATGATGATAAAGACAATGAGCAGGATGCCGCCCATCTGGGCCCGATCTGGACATTGGTCAGTGGACCCAAACTGTAGCCCACCATATGCTGCTCCTGAACCACATCTCATTTCACAGAGTGAACTAAATGACCTGGTCAGGTATTTGTAATTGCCTGAGAGTAAAGTAGAGCTAGCGGGCTTCGGATTACAACAGTGGAACCTCTTGCAAAGATGACAAGCTGGATTGTCCGTTGTGCGGCAAGGAAAGGAAAGCATGGGAAGCCTTCAAGTCTGTGGCAACAGTTTCTTGGGAACAGCAAGGCTGATGACTATGGAAAAATGTGTGGAAAATTTGGTTAGGTCCTATAAAGCACTTTTTGCAAACGTCACTGAAAATTCACTTCTTGCACTCACATTTTGACTACTTCCCGTTGAATTCTGGGGCAGGAAGTGATGAGCATGTGGAAGAGAATCAACCAGGATCACAGGCATGGAGAAAAGATACCAAGGGAAATGGAGTCCATGCTTGCCAATTATTGTTAGAATCTCCCCAGGGATGATCCTACTGCAGTTCACAAGAGAAGAGCCAAAAAATGCGGTTTAGAGACCGAATAGAGAACCTTGTTTGATCTGATGTTGGACCTTGTCAGTTTTTCATGCAAAAAACATGAAAAGGTTATATGAAAAACCAATAAATGAATGGAAAGTTATGATGATAGTGTGGCACCATTCAGATTGCTATATATCACATTTTGCAGAAAAGGTATGGAGCATAATTGCACACACACCTTGTAGTTTTGAATTATTTTAATGCAGTTTTGACCTGAAGCTATATCTTGGATATGAGCCAATTTAATACTTAGGGCTTAAACTTTCCTTTATTAGTGACCCAATTCTGCTAAAATTAAGCTACTTTCATTTCTGAGGCTTTTTCCTTGTAGACCATTGAAATCAGAAAATTTTTGGGAAGCTTAATTTGTCTTCCTGTTCAATCTAGTGGGAATAATGGTGCAATCTTAACCCAAATATGCTTTTTCAAGAGGAAACGAGGTGACTTTCTGATTTTTCTTTGAAGACATTTAGCTTCTCATCCAAGAAGCTGGATGAATTGCAATTTTAACATCAGTTGCACCTTTGGATGCCTAGGCTGTCACAAGTTTTGGAAAAATAAAGATTCCATTTGTCAGACCTCAGCAAGAAATCACTTTATCAGATACTGTAGGAGGCACTGTTGTGCCATGCGAGATTTTGCAGTGAGTCACTCCTGGCCTTTTTTGGTACATTTATGTACTCCCTGAGTTTGTATCCCCTCAGTCCAATGAGCCTCAGCAGGTTATGTGATAGGTTGTATAAAAAATATAAAACATATAGACTTTGATTAAAAATAAACTTCAGCCTAAAAAACACCATATAAATATAAAAGGAAACGATAGATGCGTCCGTGCATGAACTCTTGGAAAGACTGACATTTCTGTTTTTAGCAGCTTTCTGGAAACTAACAAGTGACAAAGTCTCAGAAGGAACATTTGCAGCAAGATGGTGGCTGGAATGATTTTTTGCAGTGAAGTTCTCAGTCGGCGAAGCAAGTCCTTCATGGTGACTTGACTCCAGTTTAGCTCATTTCTAATCCTATTTGGATCAAGAGTTGCGATGTCAGTTTACTGGATCCTTTAGAAGGCATTTCCTCCTAAAGTAAAAGAGGAAAAGAGCCCTTCCTTCTGGAGAACACGTGCAGAAAGCTAAGGGATCCAATCCATTCAGATCTTCATTAAGGGCAAAGACCAGTATGGAAAATTAAGAGAAACTGTGCAACCTGACAAAGGGGGAAAAAAGTATGAAGAGAGAGTAAGCTGGTGGCTTGTGAAATAATTATTCTGCAATTAAGCCTTTAGGAGTTTGGACCAAGGTGCTTGTAAAGAGAGACTCCTCTTATAATCCATTCATACAATGTGATGTTTAAATAAAATGTTCATTGTCAACCAGTCGTCCCACTAAGTGAAAAACAGAATCTGAACCTTCCTCCTCATGTCGTAAGGCGCTCCCTACTAGGAAAAAGAAACTCATAAAAGAGGAGATGATTTTCCAGTGGCGTCTGGCTAGAAAGTACTGTATGTTGATCACCGAAACAGATAGAGTTTTAGAGTTGCTTGCCAAACAAGCCTAGTTTCAGTGCAGTGGCTTCTGTGGCACAGGTTTTGGTGGCATTGTGATTCCTGCTGGGCTGCCGGAGTGGCTTCCTCTGAGCCTCATGTAGAAGGAGATGGATGGAAGCCAAAAGGTGACATTGGAAGAGATCACGGTGGAAAGAAAGGATCAAGGGAGGAGCCATTCAGGCCACAATCTGTTTCTTTTTCAAGAAAGAATAATTTAGATTTTCTTATGCTACTTTCATTATTTTTATAAATAACTCAAGGTGGCAAACGTATCTACTCCTTCCTACTCCTATTTTCCCCACAATAGTCGCCCCATGAGGTGAGCTGGGCTGAGAGAAGGTGACTGGCCTCAAATCACCCAGCCGGCATTCATGCCTGAGATGAAACTAGAACTCACCGTCTCCTGGTGATTGGCCCAAAGACACCCAGCCGGCTTTCATGCCTGAGACGAAACTAGAACTCACCATCTCCTGTCACTGGCCCAAAGACACCCAGCTGGCTTTCATGCCTAAGGCGGGACTAGACCTCACTGTCTCCTGGTTTCTAGCAGGCCCAAACTCTCAATGTTATCTTGTACTGTGCCGGAACCTAGTTTTCTGTCTCAAATGTCTGAAGCTCAGTAAATTAGTGTGGGCTGAAGAAGGCCACAGTGAGAAGCCTTTTACCCTCTTCAATTTTTTTATAGGCACCATTTAACATTTTAATACTTAGGCCTTCCAGCAGTATTGGCACTACAACTTCCAGATGCCCAGCCAGCGTAGCTCCAGATCCCCCTTGCTAAGAATCCTGAGAGATGCATTATTTATATTTATTTATTATATTTACATGTCGCCCATCAAGCCACTCCGTCTAAGGCACCGGCAACCTGGGAGATCCTTTCATAATTGCCATCAACATTTCATTTTAAAAAGTACCATGTCTCCCCAAAAATAAGACAGGGTCTTATTTTCTGTTGATTCCCCCCCAAAATAAGTGCTTGGTCTTATTTTTGGGGAGGTCTTGTTATTTTTGAGGTGCAGGAGCTGGCGAATGTGATCACCTCATGGCTGCTGCTGTGTTGCAATATTTTTGGGGAGGGGTTATTTTGCGGGAAGGGCTTATTTTAGTGCATGCACTCAAATGCCCAATTAGTCTTATTATCTGGGGAGGTCTTATTTTCGGGGGAACAGGGTAGACGTTTTTGTCAGTGTTAGCTTCTACCTTTTAACAGGATTTGTGGGTCAGAAAAGGCGCTACCTGCTTCCCCCTGGGGTTTTTTTTTTTTTGGGGTAGCGTAGGATTTTACCATTTCCAAAACTCCAGGTGTGGACCGACTGGGAAAAACTTTCCGTGTATTAGGACGCTCCGTTCTTCAGATCTACAGGGACATTTCTTGGGCTGGTGAGGGGCAGGATCCTGCTGGCAATGGCAGGCTTTGTTCTGGGCCGGGAATCCCCCAAATATTTCCTTTAATCCAGTTGGTGCCGGGGCGACCTTCAGCCTTGTTGTGTAACTCTCTTGTTTTACACTATTACATCCCCGACTGCTGTCGGTAGGGATGAATAATTTGACATGGGAGCAAAGTTGCCCTGAATGCACCTTCAGAACAAGGCAAAATTAACCAAAGAATTTCCCAGATGGCAACAACACTCATTTTTTCCCACACAATGTTGTCGAAAGCCACGGAAGGAATGAAACGCAAACCTTTCCAAGCTTCCCCCAATGTGTGCATTCTGGTTCAGACCTACATTTGTATTGAGTCCAGGTGTGTTTACCCCGACCAGCTCCCCCNAGAACAAGAAGCAATGGGTGGAAACTAACCAAGGAGAGAAGCAACCTGGAATTAAGGAGGAGTTTCCTAATAGTGAAGACAATTAGCCAGTGGAACTGCTTGCCACCAGATGTTGTGGGTACTTCATCAGTGGAGGTTTTCAAGAAGAGACCGGACAGCCGCTTGTCTGAAATGGGATTGGGCTCTCCTGCTTGAGCAGGAGGGCTCGACTAGAAGACCTCTACCGCACCCCACCCCCCCACACACTCATGGGAAGGGACGTTAAGAGGCCTTCTATTTAGTCCACCCCACCCACTCATGGAGGCATTTCCACGGGGCTCTGGTAAAGAGTGGCGGGGGGCTTCCTTGACCCGCCACACCCAACCGCAAGGCCGGGAAGGGCCCCACCAAGGCCTGCCCGGCGGAGACTGCCCTCCTCCCGCAGGTCGTAACTCTGAGGAGTTGCCCAGGGGGGGCCTCCTAGAGCTGCGGAGGAAGAAAGGCTGAGCCTCTGTGGACCTCGGCCCGGTCGGAGAGGTAGGCCAAAGCCCCGGGGCTCTCGTACTCACTGGGCTCGGATGGGGGCCACTCCGGCCGCCTCCATGACTGGCCTGCCTGCCTGGCCTTCCCGACCTATCCGGAAGCGCCGCTGCTCCTGGGAAGGAGCCTAGAGCGCCCTCTCCCCGGATGTTCACCAGGGCGCCGTTCTAGGAATTGGATTCCGGGGACAACGGTGGCCGCGGGCGGGGCTTCCGAGGCTGGAAAAGCGCGGGAGGGCGCCTCACCACCCACCCCCCCCACGCTTCAGCGCGGGAAAACACACGTTTCTTCAGCAACTAAACTTAATTCATTCAAATTAACATCTAATTAGCCACAAAAGAAGAATATTTTCTCCGTAGAAAGAAATAGCTCTCACGGCTTCATTCCCCCCCCCCCCTCAGGCCCCGCCTCGATTGATTCCCTTTTCAGCCAATCGGGGGGGGGGGGGGAAACAAGACCCGCCGGATGTGAGCACCGTGCGGCAAGGAGGGCGGGACTCCGACCGGAAGTCGGTAAAAAGGCGCCAACCTTTTTTCTGAGGTAAACTCTGGCTCGCGACGCCTCGAAAGCGCCTCGCTAATCCTGAACTTAGGAACATGAGCGCTGGAGACTTGACTCCGCATTTAAAGACCGCAGCGGATTCAGCGTGGAGGAAGAACCCGTCTTCCCTAAGGGGCAGCCAAAGCAAGCAGGGATGCCCAATGAAACAGCCTTTTGGATCAGCGATTTTCTTTCCTTCCCCCCTCAGCCTGGCCAGCTTTAAGATGGGTGGACTCCCACTCTTATTTATTTATTAATTTATTATTTATTTATTTATTCATTCATTCATTTATTTATTTATTGGGTTTATTTGTATGCCGCCCTTCTCCGGGAGGCACTCAGGGCGGCGAACAATTCAAAAGGGGGAAAGGGAATATAGAACACAATACGCATGATTAAAATAAACAAGAATCATACAGCCATACAGGTCAAGAGTGGGGGGGAACTCATCACCCCCAGGCCTGCCGGCACAGCCAGGTTTTGACGACTTTTTGGAAGGCCTGGAGAGAGGTGAGGGTCCGAATCTCCACGGGGAGTTCATTCCAAAGGGCCGGAG